ACAAGTGCCTTTTACATCTGTTTTCTTTTCTGGACAAGAACAGCAGGAAAAGTTTGGCAAAAACATGTCACCAAATGCTAGAAGTGTTTCAAGATCCTTTACTGTGGTCGCTGTTGAATTTTCATTCTCCGGGGGAGCTGAAGAAGGATAATTTTCTCCTGGGACCTGCTCTGAAGTACTTATCCATCTGCTGGCATTCGCAGCGAGTCAAGGTGTGCAATATCGAGGACTGGATGAAAAACACTTTCCAGAAAGACTTCTGTTACAAGCATGAAAATATTGTCAGTGATTTTCTACTGGAAGTTTGCAACAGGTATGTTCTCTGGGCAGGACACTGAACATCTAAGAAAAAGGTAACAGCTACCTCAAAATGAGAGCCCCAGGAACGCTCTGCCTAACTAGAGCAGTGAGTACACGCGTGCCTAAATGTTTTAATAGAGGTTATTGGGTTTAGTGGAAATAGTGAACCTTCAAATTGCTTTACTGAGATTCCTCAAGCATCATCATCATCATTTTTTTTTTTTTTTTTTTTTTTTTAATAATTAGTCCCAGAAAGTGCAATACTAGCTATTAATGACATGCTCTTTAGCTGAACTGCACTGTTCTGGCAGCACGGTCCGGGTCGGGGGGAGGGTAAGCCTATGTCCTCACAAAACCGAGTTCATCAGCCACCTCGTTACTCATCACCAGCCTCTCTCCTCCACACGGTTTGCTGGCCAAGGCAGCGCTATCTACAGCACGACACCACTACATGTCTAAGACACAAACAGTGCTCTTGGGTTTAGCAACTCCTCTTGCTACATTTAAGCTTTTAGTAAGTTACAGTAGAGGGAACGACAGCAGTTTCATGCAACAGCTGCAGGGCTGGGCAGCAGCCCTAAGACGCAAGTGGGAGGCGCAGAGCAGGCCGGGCCCGTCCTCGCGACGGCTGCGGCCCCGACCGGGTCCCTGCGCAGAGCGGGCGCCCGCTCGGGCTGCGCCGGGGCACGAAGCACCGCTGGAGCCACCAGCATTCACAGAGCTGACACGCAGCCTGTGACAGGGCACGGGCTGGGGCTGGGCCCGGCTGCAGCGGAGCCTCAACCCAGACGAACGCAGGCTCAGAACAGGCCGCAGCGTCACTGCACAGAACTTCAAAAGCAGCTGGTCCACAGCAAGTGATTAGAGACGTCTGCTCAATTAGCAGGATAGCGTTAGGAAAGACCCCTTCCTGCAGAGGAAATGTTCCAACTTTGATATTGCAATGGTCCCCAGGGGCCACACGCAATTATTCCGAGTCTTCAGGAGGAGGATGCAGCTCTGCAGAAGGCGCTCAGCGCTCGGCTGCCTTCCTGGGCAGCACCCCGAGCCAGCCCTGCGGGCAGCAAGGCCCCTCTCAGCCTGCAGGCCCGAGACAGCAACAGCTGCCTCGGCCTCAAACAGCTTCACTCGTGCTCATCAAAACGGGACTCTTCTTACAAACAACGGCATAAGCTGATCCCCCCCCCCCCCCCCGAGCCACTCAGCCGTCCCAGGGTCCTGCATCTCCCAGTCATGCCAGCACAACGCAAAGCCCTGTGCTCTGAGCAAAGAAAAAGGCACATTAGAGGATGTTCAGCAGCTCAAATTCCCCGAGTTTAGAGTATTTTGCGCTGTAGATTGACTAGTCTAACTAACTTGCTAGGCCACTGTTTAACGGGAGGATTCCCACCTGTTCCAATGGCTTGAGGAAGGTTTAGGAGTTGAGGGGGCTACCAAGCACCAGTACTCCATGAGTGGCAGGCTGTACTGAGCAAAACCAAGGAGAGGCCTTGCTAATTCGCACTTAACGGGAGGATTCCCACCTGTTCCAAAGGCTTGAGGAAGATTTAGGAGTTGAGGGGGGTACCAAGCACCAGTACTCCATGAGCGGCAGGCTGTACTGAGCAAAACCAAGTGGCCTTGCTAATTCGCATAGATTGAGCGAGGGTGCCGCTCCTGCCCATGGCCTGCACATCTGCAGCCTCTTCATCACCCATCCTCACACCTACGAGCTCAGTTATCTTCAGCCCTGGGCTTGGAGAAGGGTGACCCTGGGTATCTCCTTAGGAGAAAAACAACGCAGCTGCAGCCTGAACAGGGACCACATTCCCTTCCTCCTGTGCCAAATGAGCTGCAGATGTTGTGGCCAAAACAGAAAAACTGAGGTTAAATCTTCAGATTAGTAGAACTGTGCAATAAACTCTATAAATAAAGCCATTATTTAGTTCCCCCAACAGAAAAGGTAATGTTTTCCTAACTTTGATTTCTATGATGACAGTGCTTGAAGATGCTATGCTCTCCAAACTCTAAATATTACTCATTTTTCTCCCCTCACCTCTAACGATCACCATGTTTCCAGATGTCCAAACCTGCTCTCTCTGACCCTCTCTGGATGTGGCCACGTTACAGACAACTGCATCTTGCTGCTTCTCAAGAACTGCCCCAACCTCGAGACACTCAAACTGGAAAACTGTGTGCGGATCACTGACCTGACCCTGGAAGCCGTGACCCTCCACGGGAGGGCCCTGCGGACGCTGCACGTGGATTTCTGCCGGAACGTAACACGGGCTGGGCTAGAGAGGGTCAGGGAGAAACGTCCTTCGGTAACACTGAGCGCAGAGAGAAGCGCTAACATGATTCCAGACAGCAAGCCAGAAAAGAAGTTCATGCTTGAAAAAACATCAAGAAAACTGGTTCAGCTTTAACTGGAACAAGGTGCGTGAGGTCGGGCAGCGCGGCTCGTCTGCTTCCCCTCCACCTTCCTCCGCGGCTGCCGTCACCCCAGCTCCTTCGCTGCACCCTGTGCTAGGCCCATACCCACGGCTGCTGCCATCCTGTAGGGACCCCCCTGGAAAAAAAAAAAAAACGTACTTGTCTCCACCATAGCAGCCTGGAGACATCCTGTTCTGTTTAGTGAAACTGGAAAATTCTGCATTTCTGCCACAAGGTGGTAGAGCTGCGTAAGGCTACAGAACTGACCTTTGTGGGAGAGCGGAAGGGAGCAAAAGCACCTTGGGCGAGTCCACGCTCAAGCCCAGTTTCAGGGAAAGCCTGACTGAAAATCCTGCAAGGGAACATACAGCACACGGGGACAGTCCCCGCCAGGGGGGATGGCCACAGGTCTCCGAGATCCTTCTGGCAACCACCCCTTCCTCGGGAATCGCAACTGGCAGCTGATCTGTCAGGCTTACTTATTAAGTGAGGATACATATGGCAGTGCACAAACCACTATTTGACCCTCTGCATTTTGACAGGCTACACTTTAACTCATTTTTTTTCTAAAGCCGCATTAAAGCAAGCTACCTGACAGAAATGACCTACCTGAAAACACAGAAATTTACAACCTGTAAGTGATGCAACTTTAAATGCTGAATTAGGAAAATGTCATAGCTGAGAGATCTGTATTAACACCCGTTTATCACTGCAAGAGTAAAGCACCAGCTGCCTGCACCCAAACCACAAGGCTGGACTTTCCTGCAAGCTGCCCTGCCCCATGGAAATGGAATCCATCTTCTCAGGAAGGGCTGCTCCAGTGTGGTCTGCACCAAAATACCACACCAAAGGGTGGAACAGGTTTGCTCTGCTGTTTAAAATTTATCTCGATGCAGCACGTGGGGACTTGGTCATAGTGCTGAGCAGCTCCTACCAGCAACAAGAGGCGCTAAGGCCTCTACCCGATTCCACACACCTGGCCTGAAGGAAGGTGGACATTTCTGTGTGGCTGTTTCCTGTATTACACTGGCCCTTTACATGTCTCACCTGGGCAGTGTAAGTGCTTGCAGCAGCTCACAGCAAGGACTGCCTCAACGGCTTGCTGGCACCGCAGGTGCCTTCTGAAGGAGCACCATCTCACACTGCACCTCACCTACGTGCGAGCACATCCTCAAACCCGGCCTTCCATCGTTCCCATTCTGTGCAGCTAGCGACGTGTTGGATATGTCCAGAACATGTCTCACCTGGGCAGTGTAAGTGCTTGCAGCAGCTCACAGCAAGGACTGCCTCAACGGCTTGCTGGCACCGCAGGTGCCTTCTGAAGGAGCACCATCTCACACTGCACCTCACCTACTTGCGAGCACATCCTCAAACCTGGTCTTCCATCATTCCCATTCTGTGCAGCTAGTGACGTGTTGGATATGTCCAGGGCGTGACTTCTGGAGAGCACCAGGAAACCCCAGCCTGCACTTTCATGGGGACTCTGCACCCAACCTTACGCTTACCTCTCTCATTCAACACAACTCACCAAAGAACTTGAAACCTACAGGCGGCTGGACCTGGCGGTTTTGCTTCTCCTGCAGGAGCAGGTATCAGCAAGGCTCTGACACGGAGCGTAGCCTCACACAGACCAGGCTAAGAACCCCAAACAACCCAAGCCCAGCTTAAATCACAATGAAGGCAATAGCAGAAAGATATGGTTTTAAATAAAAGCCTATAGAATGTAAGAATAGTCAAGTATTTAAATTCAGAAATATTAAGCTTTGGAAAATACTGTTCTGTCCCACTGAGTGAGCGTTTCTGTTCTATTTCACAACAGCTACTCACTTCACCACCAGAGTAAATCTGACTTTTGTTTACATGAGGTGCTGTGTATTTGTTGATAAGTACACGAACTGGAACTTGCATCACTGGAATTCAAATATACCAAGACTATCAGAGTTTAAAATATTTTTTTTTTAGCTTTGTTGCATTTTTACAGTTGTAAATGTGTCCACAGGTATAGCTCTGCAGACTTAGATTTTGTTAATTACTTGTCTGCATTTTAGTCTCTCTTGTATAACTGGAAGATTACAGGAGCTAATACTGCCTATAAGCAACACAATCTGTGATTTCTTAAGCTTGCTGTTGAACAAATTATTTAAGGTTACCATGAATATCCAACATGACATTCTTTTTTCTTAGAAAATGATGTGTACCTCTCTTAAAAGATATATGGAAAAACTGCTATTCAAATAAAGCAAATTTCTACCTTTCATTGGCATCTAAACTGTAGAAACAAGTTCAGAATTTAGAGTTATTTACAAATAATGGGTTTGATTTTCCAGTTTCTCACTGTATTAATTTTATAATATTACTGCACCTTTTATTAAAGTTATATGGAGAAGTATTGCTTTACGTATCACAATGTAGAACTCTAACTTGGCTCTGATGCCTCAGGTAGCCTTGAAATAAAAATTTATTTCAACTGATGTGTCATTTTTCCTTCACGTTTGAGCAGAAGGAAAAGGAACATGGTATCAAAAACCCACTTGAAGCCAATTCTTACTGCAAAAGTAGAATTGCAGAACTGTATTTCCAATTGTTTTCTCTAAGAAGATAAGTTTCAATCTCAGCAGAAATATTGTTATAAACTATATTCCTAGGGCTTATTATTTCCTCTGCAAGAACTGATTAGTTAGCTATGTACTCCTGAAATGTGGTGCAACAAAAATGGAAAGAGTATTTTACAACTTTCCACATTAATGAATATACTTACTTTCCATCCTGGTTTATTGCTCCACAGATATCCTTTGGTACTCTTGTAATTTGGCTGAGCTACAAAATAAATCACAGCATTATCAAATCTTAGTGAAACAGACCTAAAATTCTAGAATAATATCCTGTCAGTACGAGTATCCATAAGAAACACTCACCCAGGGGAGGAATAAATAATTTATTATTACTTATTATAATTTATTAACCTCACAACTTGGTGACCACACCAGTGTTCAGCGTCATGCTATTTTTCTCATTTTCCTAGAATTTAAGTAGTGCCCTTATGCACTAAAAACCAAGGAACAAAACTGAAAATATCCCTGAAAAAAAAAGGCAAAGAGCAGTCCTAAAGCAGCACCTGCACGTTAGAAAGGAGAAGGCTACACTAAATAAACTGACTGCAATGGGGAAATTGTAATGCTTACACAAACCTCACCTTGAATATACTATTTGTGCCCGGAGAAAAGAACAGGTTTCACATATTGCTGCTAAGCCCAAGGAAGGTGTGAATTCTACAGTGGCCTGACATGCGCCGATGCCAGCTCTGTGATGACAGGTTCCTCCAGAAAGGTTAGATCTAACACCTAACAGGTTTTCAAGTAGCTACAAAATATGGAAGTGGAGCCAACTCTGCTGCTGCAACCCCTGAAAGGCAGAGGGCTCATCTGGCCCAAGTGCCGGGCTCATCCCTGGCCTGGCAGCCCTTCTTGGCCCCAGCGGCGCCTGCCTTCCCGTTCCAACGGGCTGGCTGGTGCTTGGGAGCCCTGGGGCTCGCAGAGAAGTGGATGCACTTCCAAGCAACAGGTCCCAGTGTAAAAACAGGGCAGAAAGTGCCTGGAAACACTGCAGGAAGAGAACTAAGTATCTAACCCTTGGGGAGGAATAGGACAAGAAATACAACAGAAGCATTCAGTGAAGCAATGTTTAACAACAGGTGCAGGGTTTTGGGATCACAGTGCTTTCCATGAAACATCTACCCAGAATGGTACTTCCCTGGCCTTTCAAGCTGTTTTTCCTCTGGGTTACACTTCCAATTTAACACACTGTGCTTACAGAGGGTCTGAAATGGCTCTGGATAAACACGCTGCCTCCCCTGCACCTCTGACGTGCACCGCTACCACCGATCCCCGCTGCCTCTGCCACGTACCCACGTCCCAGCCGAGGTGGAAGGGGGGTGGAAGGGAACAGAGCTGCGATGTCGGGGGCACCGTGTCCACCTCTCCGAGGCTGTTTGCCTGGCGCAGCAGCTCTGCCACTCGAGGGTTGCTACAAGAGACCAACGGGGTGCGTTCCCTCCCCTCAAACCAGCGCACACGGGCCCTGCGCCTAAGGGATGCAGACACTTCCTTTAGGTACTGGAGGAGATTTGCACCTATCGAATACCCCTGAATGCCATAAATGCTGGAGCTTTGGCAGATGGTCTCCGACAGCAGGGCAGAATGAGCGCTGCAAATTCTTTGTCTGTCTGCAGGTCTGCGTAAGCAGCATTACACAAGAAACATGATTCCAGTCTCAGATGCCTGAGCAACAACAACAACAAAACAAAACCAGTGAGCAGAGCGAAAGGAATGTGTGCACAATATCATTATGGTGAAAACAAAGAGAAGGGTAAAATAAAAGGAATTAAGCATTTGATAGATTTAATCATGCTAAGATAGAAAAATTCAAAGCAGCAGCAGAATAAGAAAGAAGTCTCAGTTAAAGAAGCTAAGCAGAATCCTTTAATCAACATCAATATTTACCAGTATCAACATCTTATTACACTTTACTGTAAGCTGCCTCCAAAAATACCCTCGCTCTGCACAAACTGCACAGCCCATACAAAACTCAACTCGTATTTTTTTCAGGAATTGCTCAGTTTTCTTCTGTGCCCAAGTGAAGCAGGCTGACAAATCAGTAACACTGGCTCAGACACATCCCTGAAGCCTAGGAGACAGAAATGCAGGATTTTAAACAGCAGTCTAGCCTTTTCTTGGTAACTTTGTATTTTTCAGGTATAACAAATAAGATCTTTGATGAGGATGAGAAGATTCTCCCTGCCCTCCATGCCCCCACCTTGCAGTCTGGGTCTTGGTCAGAGCTCACGGGCCTTGGGCCTTCCTCAGTAGCCAACAGTGAGTTGTTACTGAGGAGACCTCACTAGGTAAGACCTGGGTCTTCACATTTTTGATGATTTTAAAACCAGCCCTTTTACCAGTGCCTGTTGGCAGCAGCACGACATTTTGGGTCTCTTGAC